ACACACACACACACACACACACACGCGCACACACACACACGCACACACACACACACACACACACACACACACACACACACACACACACACACACACACACACACACACACACACACACACACACACACACACAACAGAACTGCACATTTACCATTGCCTCTGCAGCTATGTGGCATGTTCCCTGGTGGTTTAGATAGAGCGACTTCTCAAAGATGCCATTATCCAGCAGATCCAGCATGACAGAGCCATAGTATGAACTGAGTGGAATATGCCGATACTGGCTGACATTCACATCAGCCACAGTGCTAAACGATGAACTGTACACTATCTCAGCAGCACTGTTCACCAGCAGACACCTGTTCAGCACATAACACCCGCAGTGACAGGATGATCAGATGGACCAGTGGAGAAGAATAGACGGACGGCAAAACCTAGAAGGAGTTAACATTTTTCAACTCCTCGCCCAGGGATAGGGAGTTGAATATGAAGTTACAGGAAGTGAGTCGATGCTTGCACCAGGAGGGAATGAATGTTATAATCGGAATGACTGTTCCGACTGGCGAAGGTTACTTACTCTGTGCTTGCATGAGAGCACCTGTCCGCATCCAAAGCAATCGGAGTGCTTGCCAGTACTGTTTCAACCAGAGTAGCAAACTGTGCATAGCGTAGGTCAACTCCAGCCACACCAGCAACCTGGCATGCCGCAGACAAGATTTAGAAACAACAGTACAGCAAGGAACGCTTTTCTGCGTGTAAGAAGAGGAAACAGTTTGTGAAAACAAAGCAGTAGGGGCAGTCACAATTCACGTCATCCGCGTGCAGGTACAGTGCGCATCGGCTATAGGGTTGTCGGCTATAGTAATATACCTCTTATAGTGATCGTATTCTCAAATTCATTTTCGTAAACCACCCCTTTCTATACATATCGGATCGGCTATAGTAATAATTGGCTATAGTAATATATCGGCTATAATGATACGATTTCTTTGTCAAAATGATTCTATTGCATACATTTTTCATCGGCTATAGTGATTTGTAAGAAAAGGGTTTGCTCCCCACACCGGAGCTCGCGCTATTCCGCCGACTTTACTTGACACTTGACTGACTCACGACTGCCATCCAGAGCACACGAGAAGTCCATCGAACCTTCGACTCGGCAAACCTGCAAGAAAGCACCACTCCCTGCTCAATACACAGTGTTTCGGGGAATTCACCCCTCATCAGTTGAGCTTGAGTAGGCTGAGGAAGATTGTGCCTGAAGAGCACCACTTATATAGTGCTCTCCAGGCACAACCATCACCAGGGATACAAACTTACAGAGACGCTCCGTTTTCAGCGCGACAAACACCTCGTGAACACCAGATAGCAGCGTGAGTCAGTGTCGCTCCTGGACGGTGAGACAGACGTCGAGGACCCTCGGTCATTCGCAACGCTGTCACCTCCAAACCAACTAGTCGCAAGCCCGCGCTGGGCACAACAGTACGAAGTAGTGGTTGCGACCTCGGCGATGATTTGTAAGAAAAGGGTTTGCTCCCCACACCGGAGCTCGCGCTATTCCGCCGACTTTACTTGACACTTGACTGACTCACGACTGCCATCCAGAGCACACGAGAAGTCCATCGAACCTTCGACTCGGCAAACCTGCAAGAAAGCACCACTCCCTGACACTGACTCACGCTGCTATCTGGTGCTCACGAGGTGTTTGTCGCGCTGAAAACGGAGCGTCTCTGTAAGTTTGTATCCCTGGTGATGGTTGTGCCTGGAGAGCACTATATAAGTGGTGCTCTTCAGGCACAATCTTCCTCAGCCTACTCAAGCTCAACTGATGAGGGGTGAATTCCCCGAAACACTGTGTATTGAGCAGGGAGTGGTGCTTTCTTGCAGGTTTGCCGAGTCGAAGGTTCGATGGACTTCTCGTGTGCTCTGGATGGCAGTCGTGAGTCAGTCAAGTGTCAAGTAAAGTCGGCGGAATAGCGCGAGCTCCGGTGTGGGGAGCAAACCCTTTTCTTACAAATCATCGCCGAGGTCGCAACCACTACTTCGTACTGTTGTGCCCAGCGCGGGCTTGCGACTAGTTGGTTTGGAGGTGACAGCGTTGCGAATGACCGAGGGTCCTCGACGTCTGTCTCACCGTCCAGGAGCGACACTGACTCACGCTGCTATCTGGTGCTCACGAGGTGTTTGTCGCGCTGAAAACGGAGCGTCTCTGTAAGTTTGTATCCCTGGTGATGGTTGTGCCTGGAGAGCACTATATAAGTGGTGCTCTTCAGGCACAATCTTCCTCAGCCTACTCAAGCTCAACTGATGAGGGGTGAATTCCCCGAAACACTGTGTATTGAGCAGGGAGTGGTGCTTTCTTGCAGGTTTGCCGAGTCGAAGGTTCGATGGACTTCTCGTGTGCTCTGGATGGCAGTCGTGAGTCAGTCAAGTGTCAAGTAAAGTCGGCGGAATAGCGCGAGCTCCGGTGTGGGGAGCAAACCCTTTTCTTACAAATCATCGCCGAGGTCGCAACCACTACTTCGGGCTATAGTGATGATCATAAAAAATTATACATCGTACATGGCGAGATCTGATCGCGGCAGTCAGGAAGCGCTGGTACAACTATGATATCCCTCGGAGGAAATTCGAAATATTTGGCGTTGGCTGTGCTTGTTGTTCCGGGGCATCCTCGAGCGAGAGCGGAGGCAGTAATGAGTACCAGCGCTGAAGCGCTACCGTGGTCTCCGCCGAGATGTTGGAGAAGGCATTCAGGTAACAGCGAAGACGATCAGGGACGCGGAGAAGCTTCTCTGTGACATACGACATCACGCGTCGAACGACCTGCCACTTGGAGCGGTTTCAGCGGTGATGAGTCGAGCGATGGCGACCCAGACTGAGACTCTACTCCCACTAATCGATCCTGTAGATATCGTTGATATGTCGATTGAATGTGTTGAAGTGTTTCTCTTCCAAAAGAACACATTTGTTGAGCACAGCAACTCCTTGAAAACTCATGTCAAAAGTTATGAAGTTTTTGTTTCCACACGAAGTAGCTCTGCACTGCGTGTACTGCACAGTCATATGCACAGCACGCTTCTGCACGCTGCACTGATTCGAATGACACCATACACGCATGTGTCAGGCATATCGCCTGTAGTGATATTTTCACGAAAATCAAACACCAACCCTATAGCCGATCCGTACTGTACTTGGAACGACGGCCTTCACTCTTACTTGTAGGTGGCTGGGACAGATGGTCACTTTATCAGAGTGGCCAACTTGACACGGCTAACTGCATATACCAGGGTATACCGGGTCGGCAGCACAGGGGCAGCCAAATAAAGTGGTCTCAGATTGCCATTGATCATAGTGTACTTCTAAACAATTTACTAAAAAAAGGCATAACATTTAGAACTCACCGTCCGAGTCCTTAAAAAAGGCATTGGCCTTACTGTCTGGATTTTACCCACTGTTCCAAGCATGTATTCTTTGTAACCCTTAGTGCATGTCATTAAAACAAGTAAAGAACAAACCCGCAGTATTAGATGTACATACCGATGGATTGCTGCATGCTAAGTTGTAGCAGTATTCCGATGCACACTCAGCATGACTACTACACGCACAGTTGGCAGAACGGCCAGTTGGGGAAGAACACGATGAGGCTATATTAGTATGTTTGTTGTGGAAGATAGTGCGGGACACGGTCAACACTTTGCCGACACCCAACGGATCGAGATAGACTGATGATACGGTGTAGATTGACGGCCTGTTGCTTAGTGTCTCATAGAACCATGGTCTCCTGGTAGAACGGTAGTGGAGGGTGGGGAAGGGAGTAGAAACACAAAAACAATGTCAGACAGTGTGCCATTCTCAGAATTCTTTGCCACAACATGTCACAATATTACTGTCACAATTATAATGGAGAATGTTGGTTGCTCCCCACACTGGAGCTCATGCTTTTCAAGTGTCAAGTCAGGTCAGCAGGAAAAGCGCGAGTTCTAGAGTGAGGAGCAACCAACTTCCTCATAACATTACTGCCAAGACGTTACTGAGATGTAAATGTAAAGTTTGATTCAGCGTGTCTTATTGATTGCGGTTATAACACTCTATAGCGACAATTAACACGTTTTAAAATCTTGAAGGACGTAACACGTTTTAAGTAAGGAAAAAGGTAGGATGCCGTGAAAACATACGTACTGTGTTGGATCAAACTTCTTGGAAGACCGGGATCCAGGGTAGGTGCGAAACACGCCATTAGAAGCACCAAAGAAAGTCCAGGCAACATGAGATTGGAGAGCAGACGTGCGGTTCATCCATACGTCTTGAATTGCTTGAGTCAGCCAGACGGTTTCTCTGATTAGCAAAACAAGAATAGAAATAGATACTTGGAAGTAGCAATAAGAGCAGGTCAGAGTATCCCAGACTGTGTCTTAGGCTAAGAGCAGGTCAGAGTATCCCAGGCTGTGTATTAGGCTAAGAGCAGGTCAGAGTATCCCAGACTGTGTCTTAGGCTAAGAGCAGGTCAGAGTATCCCAGGCTGTGTATTAGGCTAAGAGCAGGTCAGAGTATCCCAGGCTGTGTATTAGGCTAAGAGCAGGTCAGAGTATCCCAGGCGGTGTATTAGGCTAAGAGCAGGTCAGAGTATCCCAGGCGGTGTATTAGGCTAAGAGCAGGTCAGAGTATCCCAGGCGGTGTATTAGGCTAAGAGCAGGTCAGAGTATCCCAGGCTGTGTATTAGGCTAAGAGCAGGTCAGAGTATCCCAGACTGTGTCTTAGGCTAAGAGCAGGTCAGAGTATCCCAGGCGGTGTATTAGGCTAAGAGCAGGTCAGAGTATCCCAGACTGTGTATTAGGCTAAGAGCAGGTCAGAGTATCCCAGACTGTGTATTAGGCTAAGAGCAGGTCAGAGTATCCCAGACTGTGTATTAGGCTAAGAGCAGGTCAGAGTATCCCAGACTGTGTATTAGGCTAACAGCAGGTCAGAGTATCCCAGGCTGTGTATTAGGCTAAGAGCAGGTCAGAGTATCCCAGGCTGTGTATTAGGCTAAGAGCAGGTCAGAGTATCCCAGACTGTGTATTAGGCTAAGAGCAGGTCAGAGTATCCCAGGCTGTGTATTAGGCTAAGAGCAGGTCAGAGTATCCCAGACTGTGTATTAGGCTAAGAGCAGGTCAGAGTATCCCAGGCTGTGTATTAGGCTTGCCAGTATACTGCCTGTATCGGTTTATAAGAGTATATTGTTACTTTTATATGGCCATAAGCTACTACAACTCCTCGCACACAACAGTGTATTCTGCGCCTTGCACATGAACACACACACGTACACATGCAAACAAACACACACACACACACACACACACACACACACACACACAGGAGCAATCCTAACCTAACGGTCGGCTCGAACAGACCACCAGAGTTGCATGTTAGATTGCGGCTGTCCCTGTTGAAATAGGAGTGTATAGTAGTAATGTTGGGTAGGTCCGATAGCAAGTAGTCAGTAGGGTCGCAGAAACACCGTGAGGCCAACTTGAAGACACATGCATCCCTTGCGATTGCTATGCCTCGGTAGCCATTGTCTTCAGTTGTGTAACCGATCAAATTTCTTATCGTTGAGTTGTATTCCCCAATCTCATGGTAGTAACTAGCAGACTGCTGTTGTTGAGTAGAGTAACTGTCCCTGTTCAGCTGTACCTGTACACTATCACTGTCAGTCAGTACAAACGCAAACGAATACTGACTGGCTGGCACTGCCGAGTAGAAGTATGTGAACTTGACGTTCTCTTTCCAGATGACACCGTCTTCGAGTGCACCACGTCGCTGGAAGCGAGGACCTGTAACCTCACGGCTGCCTGTACGCTGTGCCAACATAGACTGCAAGTGTGTGTGTGTGTGTGTGTGTGTGTGTGTGTGTGTGTGTGTGTGTGTGTGTGTGTGTGTGTGTGTGTGTGTGAGAGAGAGAGAGAGAGAGAGAGAGAAAGTAAATAATTGAAAAAATACTACCGGTAAGCGACATGAGTGATAGCGCAGTGCCTGCACCTCAACTATACTTCAATGCAAGCAATGCTTACGCTCTTTCTGTGGATTAACCCTTTATTGGCCGATTAAAATACAAACAAGCCCACGCAATCGCCAAACCTATACCTATGTTGGACGTAACTTTAGTTTGCATTGGACAAACTCCACGATCTTGGGCATCCTGGAAAGGCCTTGGCGAGAGGAGCGCAATGAGCGTACACTCGACTCCACGGGATGCACTGGCCCAGCGCTGCAAGCCAGGGAAGGCCCACCAGCGCTGGGCCCACGCTCGAGATCTATCTCTATCCACCATTTCACTCCTGTTGCTCGTATCAAACTCAAACTTTTTCGTGAGACTCCCGGGAACCTGCTTCGGAAGTTGAATCAGTGTAGTCTTGTCAACAGATGACGTAAGCAGGGAAAATCCCGGCCGTTGACCCACGCATCGCGCTCTGAGCGCAAATTTCCCGGGACCAACATTACGAGTGTCATAACTCAAGAACCGCTCTTTGTATCGCTTTGAAAATTGTTTGAGGAGACAGCTGAGAGTTTTCTCTTCGACCTACATATTTCGATCTCTACGAAAGACCGAGATTTGACCAAGTTACGATAATTTCAAAATGTCTACCCCATCGAACATCGGTGTTCGATCAATGTATAGGCCAGCCAATAAAGGGTTAATCCTACACAAGCCATGCCTTTACTCTATCTATGGACAGCAGGCGCGTACGCAGGGTCACCTCTAGGGGGGGTTTCCAACCGAATCACAAACAATGACTCGTTTTAACCCTTTCTAAAGAGCCCTAGGAAATTTTCAAAATTGTGCATTTTTTCGTGTTCTTTGGATCATAACTTCAGTTCTACTCACTCAATCTTCATTATCTTAGGCTTCCTGGAAGGTACCAGGGAGAGAATGAGGTCGAACATGATAGCCAGGAAACAGTACAGCCATGCACATATCCAGCGCTATATGCTATAGCGCTAGCGGTAGAGTGCAGCGACGGTGCGAAAAAATGCCTCAAACTGGGCCAAAGGCCCAAACGCGTCCTGCTCCAGCGATTTCGTTTTTCTTGATCGCAGAGTTTTGATTTGTTTGCTGTGTACTCTTGAAAATATCACAAGTGAAGCCCCTGCAAATTTGAGCAAGTCAGCGTGACGGAAAGTCTCAAATTCTTGATACTCGAGTCGCACTGCGCGCTTTTGAAATTGTGAGATCGCGGCTCAACTTACGAACAATTTATCTCAAGAGACATTGCTCGCAGCGCGCCGCAAATTGTTTCAACCGACAGCTCAGAGTTTTCTATTCAACCCGGATATTTGGATTGTTGGATTTAAGCCAGATTTGACTGAGTTACGATCTGTTGAAGTTTTACATTCTTGCCAGATCAATCGTGTGCCCTACCAAAATATGCCCAAAAACGTTGCTCGTTCGGAACATTTGGGGGGTTTCCGGGCAACGGGAAACCCCCCTGCGTACGCGCCTGGACAGAACTGTTTCGTCCTTTGTGGGCTCATCAGCGCATGCCTTTATACAACAAACTTGCAGTCTCCCACGCTGCCGATGTACTCCTCAGCCAGCTTAATTTTCTTTACACACACACTTACACACACCAACTCCCAAAATCCAACTGCAACTGTGGGAGAGAGCAAATTTCAACACCAGTATCAATCAAGGTCGAATGGTGGCACGGACCACACACATAGCTGATATCAGTACAGCATGTAGCAATGAAAGAAATGGCAAAGTCAGGGATGTTTTATGCTGTACACAAGTACACTTGCATGACCCACTCACCGTTAGAACCACACCAAGGGGGGCCATCTCTCGTGGAAGATCATTGTATGTCTCCACATCAGATATGTGCGGGTACACTGGATTGTCCACCAGCTGCATACAGTAGCAACAAGATCAAAGACGCAAAGAGCACCAAGCAACACTCCGCACCAATGCCAATGGAGAGCAACGCAAAGTTTCGTTTCTCATTGCTGAGCATAAAAAACGGACTTTTCAGCAACCAGATTCTTTCGCCTGATGGAAGTTGCCGTGCCCAGTGCTCCAACCACTATGCTCACGTTTACACTCAGCCAAGGAATGGCACATTCAAAGCAAACTTGCCCAACAAGACACCCCCCCACACACACACATACCAGCAGCACAGCCACTTCTGTAACTTCCACTGCCCACCTTCATCCAGCCCGACATGACCCAAACCTCTCCTTCCAAATCCAAGACGTACACTGTGGCTCGTACGTAGGTGGTAAAACTGAAGTCTTTGCCGTGCTACATGAGACCGAGGCAAACACTACGTTGAAGTCTTTGGGGCTGCAGGCTGTCTTCAACCAAGCAAGCAGTCCCGCAAATGGTCAACATGACAGTATGTATCTTGCCAGGCTTGTCAATCGCATGCCAGACCCCTGAACTCCTCAAGTAAGTCAGGCTAGGACATGGGCACACTTACACACATTTCAACATACAGCCAAAGACAAGAAAGAGTTTTCCAAGTCTTCTACGGAACAGGCAACAGTTGAATTCTGCTGTTCGAAGATGCAATAGTCTAGGCAAGGCCCACTACTATGGCAATAGTGAGCGTTGCCTACAGCACCAGTACAGTAAACCAAGAAATAGACTACAGTTCTTCTTGATGCAATCACGTGTGGGTGTGTGGGTCGCTTACACTGGAGCTTGGCTTTAGTCTGGGATGAATGATAACTCTTGCATCCAGATCCATTAGAAAGGCATATGACAAGCCAAACTGATCATCAAGCAGTGAGTTCTCCAAGTCATCTAGCACCGCATCCACTCCAACCACACCAAGTAACCTTAAGTGATAGACATTGCAAACATACAACCGGATGACATGAGAGTTGAAATAATGAAAGGCATTGCGACAGCATTGGCCAGGCACCATTAACATGTCTTACGGGTAGATACAATAAACCAAGAAGGCATATCACTCTCACTTGTAGCTACTCCCATCCTCTCTCTCTCTCTCTCTCTCTCTCTCTCTCTCTCTCTCTCTCTCTCTCTCTCTCTCTCTCTCTCTCTCTCTCTCTCCCACTATCCCCCCCCCCTTCTCTCTGCCTTCTCTCACTTACTCGTTGACATCGTAAGGATTATAGACAGAGCGAGATATTGTGACAATTCGACCCAGACCGGTAGCGTCGACATAGGGAGACGTCAGGTGACCGGCCTTGCTTTCATCCGCCAAAGTCAGGCGCGATAAGTAGCTGAAATACGGTGACATCTGATGGCGGATGTTGTCTGTTGACGGGAGCCGCAGGTACAGTCCGTCGTGTTCACATGCCATTCTTCCTGGTAATTCCGACCCTTGGTTGCCAGTCTCGATTCCCACTACATTCAAGCGGGTCTGGGACGAAACAAACAGAACTAAAGCCATCGAGTCTGTGGTGCACTCTACAAGAATGAACAAAGATGAGTGTCCTAACCATTTGCTAAAGAAATGAATATTGAGGACAAGTCCAAACATGCTGGCATGTGCTGTATGCCCACACATGACATACACATACCGGAAAGAAACCGCGTTGCTTGCACTTTCGCAAGACATTCCTTTCCTTTCGTGTCTACCAGTTTTTTTCAGTTCGGGAGATCAGTCATCTAGCGGATGAAACAAAGCAGAGACATGGCCATCCAGGTGGTCATATACCGTATTTTCTGAAACTAGCGCCGGTCTTTTATTACCGCCTGTCTGAAATATGCCCCACATCATTTCAGGGATTTTGTGTGGATGTTATCAAAATGTAAAAAAAGAGAAGAAACACATGAGAACGAGTTATGCAGCAACTATCCACGACTGTAACAAGATGATAAACGGTCAGAACGTGCGATAATACGGCACAAAACTGACAGGCTACTGAGACATTCAGCGACCCGAGACCTAGCTCCAACACATCGCCAGTGCGCAAACCAACAGCCTTCCAACTTGGAAGATTCATGGTTACGTAGGACCGAAGAGGGGAAGGTGAGCGCAGCGAAAATGTGCACAAGCTAAGTCCCGCGGCAACAAAGAATGCCGACTGTTACAGGACGATGACGAGACCAGTTAATAACATAACAATGCGGTCTGACTACAATTGGAGATGTGTTGGAGCTAGGTCTCGGGTCGCTGAATGTCTCAGTAGCCTGTCAGTTCTGTGCCCTATTATCACACGTTCTGATCGTTTATCATCTTGTTACAGTCGTGTATAGTTGCTGCATAACTCGTTCTCATGTGTTTCTTCTCTTTTTTTACATTTATTACTGGCTCAGTATCCGAGTTATCAAAATGGGTGAAATTTGCGTCTCGCAAACTACTAAGCGCATCGGCCAGTATAGCCGAAGATACGGTAGTTTCTCTCTCTCTCTCTCTCTCTCTCTCTCTCTCTCTCTCTCTCTCTCTCTCTCTCTCTCTCTCTCTCTCTCTCTCTCTCTCTCTCTCTCTCTCTCTCTCTCTCTCTCTCGCGCGCGCGCTCTCTCTCGCTCTCTCTCGCTTTCTGTTTGTTTGTATGTCTCTCTCTATCTGTCTCTCTGTCTGCCTCTCTGTCTGTTTCTCTGTCTGTCTGTCTGTCTCTCTCAACCTTTTATCACTGCTATATATAGTATATTGATGAGATCAATATACGCCAGAAATCCAAACACCTTGCTCGTTGCCGTGCCAACGCACTAGGGCTGATCAGTGAACAGCCAGGACTTTTCAGCAGGCACAGATGACGCAGGTCAACTATCCGACTCATTAGTCAAAGCCCAAAACCAGAAAGGTCCATGATGAGAGAGAGAGAGAGAGAGAGAGAGAGAGAGAGAGAGAGAGAGAGACTCACCTTGCTGCTCGCGTGGGCCTTCTTTACAGCAGCTAGCAGTGGGCCAAATTCCAATCGGCTGATGTTACAGCCACCGCTGTTACCTTCATCATCAGAACACACCTCGTCGTAGTGATCTGGTTCCAAGTCCTTGCCGTCAGTGATAAACACCAGTATATTCTGACAGTCACCAGTCGGTGCTAATGATGGAAAGAGAGCCAGTAACATGTTCAGGGCACTCCTGCACAGCATGCAATGAACAGGAAGAGTAAAGACATGTGTAAGATGCACTACCTAAAGTGAAATCCATCCAACTTTAGAGACCTTCTCTCAAACAAGGCCGGTTGGGGCAGCGCTGAAATGAGTGGAGACCTTTCTCCGGCTCATGTTTTCACAAGTGTGAGACGAGCATTGGTCAACTGGTCACTCGCAATCTGAGGCTGAGAATTACCAAGAGCTTTGTAGAGCTCTTTCTTTATGCATGCAAGTGGATGCCTCTTTATTGGTCGACTCCTCTGAGTTCATGCTAGTTCGACACGAGTGCACCTTTTTTCCACTCACTAGAACTTCATCACTACACTGAACAATGGGCTACACTGAACATGTGGACAAGTGGATGACAACAGTATTTCACAACACTGGAAACATCTCAATTAAACAAAGTGGGACCTTCCAGACTTGACCAAGTGCTGAAACGTGCTGGCTCTTTATTGGCTCCCTATATTTCATATAAAGTATAATCAAGTTGATCTGCTTGGAAGCAATACAACTTACAGATGAGATTTGCTACCGCCAAAGGGACTTTCCCCTGCAAGTGCCTGCAATGCCTGGGCACGATTAGAGGAGGTAGCTGCCAACATTCCATTTGACTTGCAGCTAAGAAACCTGGGCTCAGCTTCATGAAATTGTGCATTCAGATTGTAATAAGAGCCCTTCGCACAGATGATATTGAACTGGTCATCCTCAGTCAGAGAGTTGATGATCTGCTGCACAGTTGCCACAGCAATGCTCCATCTAAAGCAGAGGGTACACTGAATTCGTGAGGCAAAAGAGTCAACTCACAATGCACATAGCTTAGCATGGCCGCGGCATTTACTGTCAGAGCTAAATCAGCCGCTCTCCGTTCCGTACCGGCCAATACCTGACATGCAGTTGATTCGCATCACTCTCCTGCTTTGGGTTGACTAGTATACAGTACAGGACTGTAGTTGTGCACTATCAATGCATCAGGCCAGGATAGGCTCAAGATGTCAGACAACAGAAATACAGCAGCAACATGAGCTGGTCAACAGTGCATCTTAGTTCATAGTGCGGAACACAGGTCTACCGTTGCAAAGTATACAAGGGCCTCCCCACTCCGTACTGAGGGTAAAACAATAATGGTATGGTGTACTGAAATTTACAGTTAATGAACACATACACACACACACACAAATGCACAGAAACACAGACATACACACACACACAATCATACACATACACACATGCACGCGCGCACACACACACACACACCCAGGAACATACACCCACCCATGACCACCCCGCCACGCACACGCGCGCGCACACACACACACACACACACACACACACCTTGAACCTTGAAACCTTGAAACTGCCACCTAAAGGTGATGCAGTGCCTCAGAGAGGCAAGGAGGGCAGAGTTACTTCTTGCATTTGTGTTGAGCCAGGTACTGGAGACGTGTGAACTTCCGAGAGCAGGTCAGGCATGGGATGGTGCGGCGCTCGGAGCCAGAGCTGCATGTTCTGCGGTTGCAGTTGTGCCGGCGGTGCCCAGCTTTGCTCCGGAAACAGCGGTCACAGGTGTGGCAGTGGTACTGACATTGGCTGCAATCAGGTGGGCGAGGTGCAGCTATCTCTGGAACTGGAGCGTCACCAAGGCTGGGAGAGGAGCTGTGCACAGCAAATCCACCTCGGCTAGCAAACCAACGATGGCACGTTTCGCACAACACAGCACCGGCCTGTTCATGGATCGGCTTCAGTCGCTCTTCCCTGCATTTGTGCCGCTGAAGTCCGCTTTCACTGGCGAAGAGTCGCTCACAGATCGCACAACACACTGACTTGGCTGTCATTTCAAGGCGTAAGCGCCGTGCAACAATGGCATCCGAGATGGACTGGATCCACTCGCCACGTTCACACACACACACACACACACACACACACACACACGCCATCAGATAAAAAACATCCCCCCCCCCCCAATGGTAATTTGCGCGGGCAACCTCACCTGTTAAAATCTTCCATTGAAGCACTACAGTCCAGGAATATTCCAATGGTTTTGGGACCAGAAGAAGCAGCCAAGTACCATGGTCGTGTGCGTGGGTCATAATCAACATGAAATCCAGCAAAGTTTCTTGCCCACTCTGATGCTGGGTAGTTGCGAAACATGCCAGTTTCGGATCCAAAGTATGTCCACCTAAACAGATATCAAACGAATAAGCGGCACGGAGACAATAACTTTATTGTAGCAATCAGCAGAATCAGCGAAGCGGACATTGGACGTAGTAATCAACAAAATATGGATAATAAAATTTGGAATGATTGCCATAACATATCAAAACGTTTCACATGAACCACCTCATGAAAGTCATACCAAGAAATTGATCGTTTTCTTGGAGATAACAATGCAATGACACTCCAGAAGGAAACAACGTTCAGGCTCAGCCTCAAAATCAACATTTTCAAACTTTCTACAAGTACTTTCCATGCCTTCCCCTCAGATGTAATACAGGCAAAAATAAAATAAACACGCACAGTGAAGTTTATACAGGAGACAAGTGATAGAATAGCGCAAAGAAGAGTACGGTAGTCAGAAACAACACGGCAAAAACCGTAACATACACATAAGACATGGCGAGAGGTGCAAGTGTGAAGAAACACACGCATGCAGTTGCAGTGCAGGGCAAGTTTACCACTTTCTATAGTATACTTCATTCCACCAAGAGCAGAAGTGACAGTACTCAATCAGCACCCCCTGGATCTTTCTCAATGTTGTTGTTGTTCTTGTTTTTGTTGTTGTTTATCATGTGAGGTCCCTGAGGTTGCTACGGTAGCCGCATATGTACAGTGTCTCATGCTCGCACTTCCACTAGCACCCGCAGTCGCACCCGCTTACTAAGCATTCATCAAGCAGCCCATGGTCTCTCTGTCCCTCTTCTGAGGTGTTCCCCCAATACTACCGCAAGTCTTCCCAACCTTTCTCGTTCTCCCAAGTGTGAGTGCTGGGAATACGGCATTTTAGAAGCTCAATACCCTGACTCACCTGACATTGTGGCGTTGTTGTAGAGCTTTCAGGTCCCGATCGATGGCTGCACTGTATTGAATAGCTTGGTATACACTATCACTATCCCGATTCACTGACTCGGGTATCTTGACAACGCTCTGATCAAAATTGATGTGTTGCAAATATGTGCTGCAAGGTTCAGAAGAAACCAAATAATTCTGTTCGTCAACAAACCTCTTAAAATATCAGGCATAAGCAGTGCACAATGAAGCATGAGGGTAGATTTATCAGCAAAATACACTGGTTGAAAGTACAGGCTTCTGTGTGAGGAGACAAAACTGGCATTCCGAACCCCGATTCGATATGGTGCCAAAATGCTTAGCAATTTACATTTTGTAAAATTGGTCCGAAAATGATTGAGTTTTTCTTGCTACAGCTGTATTTACATTTCACTAAGTCAGTATCAGAAAGCTACAAGTATGTCAAAATGATGTTAGGTAATAGGATTCGTTTATCCACTGTTTACAGAAATATGCGAAGAAATTGTCGTCTCTCGTAATCAATTCCAGTGTATTTGCCTCAACAGTGTGTGATTATAGTGGTCCTGAATTCCAGAAAAAGAATTGAAATGCACTTATATCATAAATCATAATTTAATACCAGCCTGCCTCAAAGAAACAAATGAAAAGCGAACTCCTGTTTGTAAAGGTAGGTTTTCTCTTATTTCGCAACATAAATGCGAACGCATGGGTGTGGCTTTCACAGGCCCTAAATATAGAGAAGGATTCATTACACACTAGCAAAAGTTTGGGATTAACAGCTTTCCCTCAATATGCTTCAACCCTGAAAATTTGAACAAAATCGGAAAGAAAGGGGCTTTTGACCACCGATATTTTTCGCAATACGAGTATACTCGTGTAGGCCTGAGCTACATCAAGTGGTTAGCATGTCCGATGTAGTCTTTCCGTTCGTCTTCTCAGGTTACTTGGAGTCTTCGGTGGTCGCATCTTACACGATAGATCTGATTTGGCAGTTGCCGTCCATTGGGCAATGAGTTTCGTCTCTGCAGTTGCAGCCTCTTTTTGGGGCTAGTTGTCGTCATTTCGACTCTTGCGTTTCACTGAGTTGTTGTGAAACTTGGCCATTGCAAGACATGTTTAGCATATACTAGTAGCTGTAACTCACTTTGACTGCGTTGCGGTTGAAAATATTGTGTTGCCTGGATCAGACGGGAATTGTGTTTCAACAAGTCGCAGGAATCTTTGTCAATGTCTGTGGCTACCGCGGGGAGTACCAAATGGCACTAGACTACCGGCATTTCTTTGTCTTGCTTGTGTCTTTGTCTCTTCCATGTACTCTATCCTTTCCGTATACTCAATATTTCTGAGGGCTTTATAGTATATCGGTGCAGCTTCCTGGAACGCGCCTTGGTCGGCTGAAAAATTGGTTAGCCACCTACTGATAGCTTTCGGTATTTCGCTTAATGGCTATTGGTGAATGGTTCGATAGATGTGGTATTCATTATATTGATATCACTGTGGACAAGTAGCATTTTTACGTTTGAGAAGTATTAAAACAAGCAGTTTTAGCGCAGAATTGTACCAGTGGCAGAAGAATTCAATGCGCAAACCCAGTGGCCTAAAGACTACAAACAAGTACAGTACGCATCGCCTATAAGGTTTTTTTGTTGGCGGCTATAGTAATATACAGGATATAGTGATCAATTTCTCAAATTCATTTTCATTTGCCATAACTAAGTATACACAGTTATCGCGTATAGTAATAATCGCCTATAGTAATATATCGCCTATAGTGATCAAATTCATAGTTCAAAAGACCTTTATGACATTATTTTTGCATCGATTGTAGTGATTGATGTAAAATCAAGTGGTGTCAGAGGAGAACAGGGTGTTACTTCTTCGTGAAGAACTAACTTGTCCAGTGTTGTTTGGTGAGTTCTGCTTGTACAAGTTGCCAAATAAGCCTCCATCGTGAGGAAATGCTGATGTTGTGTGACATGAGCTGTAGCCAGCTATGCAGTGCGTATGGGCATGGCGTACTGAGTCGTTTGACACCCCACTCGCATACATTGCATGCAGTATCGGTCATAGTGATAGTGATAAAATGCTCAAAATCAAACACCAACACTATAGGCGATACTGACTGTACATGTATTGTCATATTCTGAGCTTAAACAAGCCTAGCGGCCTCTGCTTACCTGTTGTATTGGAGACTGAGCTGGCTTGAGCCCGTATCAAACCGTGAATCAGCATCTAGAAATACTGAACTTGGTAAATTGTTCACATCCAGTTTAGCCGTCGTCGCAGTACCCGCAGTTGGTGTAGTGGTTGGAGTCTGTATTCGGCGTGCAGTCACTACCACCTGTGCAAGGCGACCCACGGCAAAATTCAAGTCGTCCAAGAGACCCTGCATTTGCTGTGCTATTCCCTGCACGATGGCGGTTCCGTTCAGCTGTTTAGTGCTGCTGTGTGAAGTGTCATACAGGCGTTGCAGCTCGCCAGGTTTCATAGCACCACCGACCACACCTGTAAGGTCCTGTTCAAGTGACTTTGCCATTGCCTTCACTGTACGGTCATCAACCAGACCACTGCTGGGACTGCAGATCACCAACAGTACTACCATAGCAACCAACAGGAATGATGTCATCCTCTGACCGGCATTACCAGTCATACTGAATGATCCACTCAATACCAAAATCAATGGTAGCAGCAGGACTAACAGAATACTTGGTTTCAACAATGAACTGCTGGCAACCAATGTTCTCTTGCTCTCTTCTAGCGTAAAGCAATTTTCTTTCACATTGGAAACTTGGAATCGGCGGTCAGCGCAGTAAGCACTTCCATTAATGCCATAACGTGTTCCCAAACGTACTCCTTGTAGTCTAGCATCTTGGCATGCACTCAGTAGATCATTGCAAAAATCTTCACACACAGTCAGACGTTCCTGTGCATAGAAGTTACTTTGCCTGGGATCGCACACGTAACACATCAAGTATGTGATGTAATTGCGACAATGTCCATTGGAGTTAGCTGGCACTTGTACTTGACTAAATAGTGAGTTGATCTCCTCATTCACACAGCACGAACTGTCCCTATACCACGTACAGTTCTGCAATCCGGGTTGCGGAGACGGTGATTTATTTCCAAAGAACGAACAGAACGAACCCGCACCTTGTCCCAATGTGCACTGCGAGAAGATGCACAGTAGAACCACCAAGTGTTGTAAGCACGGACCAGCAAGCCCATCATGGACAGACACTTTCATGCTCATCGCTAGCACCAAGTGCCGATCCCCGAGTCTCAGTACGTGAGCAGGTGGGTGTGACAGCCAGTAGCGAGCGATTCACATCAAAATTAGATGCAAAACAGCATGCAGTTCCGTTGAAGTATTTCCTCTGGAACCCAGCTGCTACACACCGTAACACAGGATCATGATATCAGGAAGAAAACTCTATGCGGACACTATCTGAATAAGAGAAGAAAGAAGCAAATAAAGCGAAAAAATAATTAATAGCAGCGATGCCATGGCACTATCGATCGTACCGCGTAGATCTACCGAGCAAGATGATCTCAGACAACGCGTCTCATGCTCAGCGTTGGCAATCTCAGCATGCAGATCATGTTTCTTCAACGCACACACACCGCGTAGATCTACCGACTGTCCGAAGCTCTGCAGTTCACGTGCATGCAGTGTTACAGCAACACTCGCATGCCATTCATGGATCTGTCGAGTTGCCGTCAAAATAATTTTCACAATTTTGACGGCAGGTACGGCATTTACGTCGTTAGTTGCTAGGTACTAGGTACATGTCATGTAGGCTGAAGAGTGAAGTAAGTAACGCCTGCAATATTCACAAATAATTCTTGTGGTTTCACCCAACGCGCCGAAAGAGCATAAAACGAAAATTATTTTCACGGTATTTTGACGGCAGGTACGGCATTTACAAGTGCGCTAGTCGACTATTAATATTCGCTAGGTAGATCTACATCATGTCATGATGTAGGCTGAAGAGTGAATACGCCTGTGGTTTCACCCAACGGCGAAAGAGCGTAAAACGAACTTTTCAATCACCAGATACTGCATGCATGTGACTTTGTGTGTTACAGGCACACGCAGCACAGTACGAGTTCGTACTGCTCAAGACTAGGACTCCCTGAGCTGAGATGCAGTATTTCTCAGCATCTTCCTGGGTGGCCTTCGCTTCTTCTGGCAGTTTCAGCTTTCCAGTGGTTTCAGTTTCCAGTGGTATCATCCCCACGTCTAGACTGCAGCCGCAAACTGAGGGCACAGAGCTGAGAAAATAGACCACACTATCATCCAGATTGAGAGTGAGATGCTCCATGGACTTCTTGCTGGCCTGGACTGGAGTAGCCAGCGTGAGCTCCCACGCGGCAGCAACACTCTGCCACACGGTGGTGACACCGAGTCCTCTACATCGTAGTCACACATTCCAAGTTCTTATTACACCCAGGCTCAAAACCCACAATGGTGACTCAGATGGCGAGCCACGGAAATATTAAAAAGATCAAAAAGAGGAAAGCAATGGGCACAAGTTATGTGTTAACCCTGAGTCCACCAACTACATTGTAGACCGGATTTTTAACCTGAGTCAGACGTGCGTGATCTAGCACAGAACCTCGGAGTGACCAGGAGCACCGAGACATCAGCCCACAGCATGAAAGTAAGCTTGAGCGCTGCAATAACATGTACAATGTATACTACAGACAATGCACGCTGATTGTGCCCCACTGCTCTTGGACCGTCTCCTCTATTTGATCGTAATAATGATCGTAATAGCTAAGACATTTCCTTGGCTCACCATCTGAGTTCAGACTGCACATCTAAAGAGCCATCATGAACAACACGACGAAAAGATAATCGTGTGATACAGATAGCCAATACATTCATGTTATTGTAGGTGCTTGTCACGTAGTATGTTCATCATCATGATCATGATCATCATGATGATCATGATCATCATGATCATGATCATCATGATGATCATTGTCTTCAACAAAGTACAGTACTGTAAGATATCTGGCGGTGTCCGGGTTGTTTCAATTCGTCCTCGTGAAGCTTCCCCTTCATATCTCAACCTTGATAAACTTGAGCCTTCCAAGCTGGGTGGTGGTTGCTTTGCGTCGTTGAAATGTGGGTTCAACCGTACTATCCAATGCCAATGGTCTTCCCGTCATCGTCCTTAGCCACTCCATTTTTTTTTTTTTTTTTTTTAACTTTGTTTTACTTCGCAAAATCCAAACGGGAATTTCTTCCCAATGACAAGGTAGCGAAGATCTTAAGAGGGAAGAGAAAAAAAGACAGAGAGAGAAAAAAAGAAGGAAAGAAAAAAGTGTGTATGCACTGGAAATGATAGTCAGCTGGAAATCGGATCCATTGTCAAACATGGCATTTGCTACGGTTCCATGTAGTCAACGGGCAATTGCGTAGGGTACTGCTGCAGCTTTGAAGGTCTCCAGAGTTGTGCTGGAGCGGACGTCTCCAGGTAATCTGTTCCATTTACCTGTAGCGTTGAAGGCGTACCTCGACTTGCCAGCGTTTGTTCTTGCAACTGGAAGACTGAGTCCGTCCTGCTGCTGAAGGCGGGTTTCTCTGGTCATTTGTGGAGTCATTAGTTCTGTGACGGACTGCGATGTCTCACCGTGTAGGCTCTTCCACACAAGAGCTAAGGTGTTCTGGTGGAAGTGCTCTGACACCTGGAAAACTCCCAGCCGGGTCAGCAAAGGTTCAGCTGAGTGTCGCGTGGGCACACCGTAGACAGTGCGGACTGCTCGATTCAGCAGAACCTGCAGCCTCCTGGTCTCAGCACTCGACAGTGAGCCACTGAAAGAGGGCGAGGCGTATAGGGCGTCTGGCAGTACTACGGAGGTCACGTACCGTGCCCTTGCAGCTTCACTGAGGCAGCGGCGTGCGCGCCAGAGTGCCCCGATTTTCTGAGCCATCTTAGCTGCCACTTTGTCAATGTGCTCCTTGAATGTCAAAGTGCTGTCCACGGTCACTCCGAGATACTTGACTGAGGAGGCTTCTGGGAGGGGTGTTCTGTCGCAGGTGACTTTGATCGGTGGTGTTGGCTGTTTGCGTCCGGCATACACTGCTAGGAGATGACTCTTTGTCTCGTTGAGAATGAGGCCACGTTGACGTAGCCAGTCACTGAGCTTTGTGACTGCTGTGGAGAGATTAGCTGAGATGACATCCGTTGACATGTGGCTGAATTGAATCTCAATGTCGTCAGCAAATTGGATTGACTTTGCTGGCTCTACAACCGATGGGACATCCCGGGTATAGACACTGAACAGCAGGGGGCCAAGCACTGAGCCCTGTGGAACACCACATGTACACGGCTTCATGCCACTTTGGAGGGTGCCAAATCGGACATACTGCTGTCGGATGCTGAGATAGCTGGCAATCCATGACAATGCCCTGCCAGCTACGCCAACCTCAAACAGATCCTGTATCAGGACATGGTGACGCACTTTGTCGAAAGCTTTCGACATGTCCAGAAAGCATGCACCCGTGTGGAGCTTCTGGTCCTTAGCAGCAAGCAGACCATCTGTGAGTACGACAAGGGCCTGTTCGGTGGAGTGCCTGGCTCTAAAGGCATACTGTGTGACGGGCAGCACATTATTCGCCTGAATCAAGTCTGCCAGTTGTCGCTGAACCAACTTCTCCAGCAACTTAGACACAATCGGTAGAAGGGACACCGGACGGTAGTTGGTTGGTACTGAGGGATCGCCGGATTTGTACAGTGGTCTCACCAATGCCGTCTTGAAAGCTGAGGGAACGACGCCTGTAAATAACGAGACACTAAATATTTCACAGAGGGAGGGTGCAAGAAGATCGGCACAGCTCTTCAGGAGCAGCCCTGGTATGCCATCACTCCCCGTTGCCTTCCGGGGATTAATCCTGCAAAGCAGTTTCAATACTGTGGCTACATCTGGGCACTGGAAACACTGGATACCGTTCCGGTCATGGGGGCCACTGGGGATTTCAAGATGAGGTGGTCGTGTAGAGTCTGTTACGATTTTATGGAACGCATCGGAAATAGAGTCTGCACTGCATGTCGGCGTCTGGTTTGGTTTTCTTCGCCCTGTCACGGCGTTGATAATACTCCACATCCTCCGAGGGTTTTGAGCACTGTCTTGGCATTGCCTTGAGAAGTACGCATTTCTTTTCCGTCGATACGCCGTCGAAGCGTCCGACATAGCTTGCTTGAACTGCGCATAAAGGGCAGTATCTGCTTTGTTGCGGAGCCATCGCCTATGGAGCCGTGTTTTGCGCTGGTGTAATTGGTATAGTTCTCTGTCTGACCATGGCTGGGTGGGATGGGAGCGCCGGTGAGTCTGTACCATTGGCGCATGCCTATCCAGGACGGCCATAAACTGGGTGTGCCAATGTGCCCACATCTCATCTATCGTGGATTGGGGATGGAACTCACCCAAGTCTGATGCAGCAATGTCTTCGCGAAAAGACTCAATGTCGATGGTGTGGACCAATCGAACTTGGTTCTTGGGGGTGACTAATTTCTGCTGCAGTGGGTGTTGCGAGGAGGGTAGAGACAGACTTGCATGCACAAGAAAGTGATCGCTGATCGTGCAGGGTACAACTTTGCAGTGACTTATAGTACCCATGGTGGAGAGCACTAAATCCAGCAGTGTTCCATCCGGACATCGGGGTGTGACTCGGGTGGCAGACTGGACGTAGTTTTGGAGCCCATATGATCCGATAAGGTCCAAGAAGCGCTGGTGAGGACGAATGATCATGCCTTGAGCAAGATTGATATTGAAGTCACCCACCAGTGTCATTGATGGTGTGATTGTGGCAGCATTGTGGAGGACTGAGTCCAGGTGGCCCCAGAAATCAGCAGTTGCATTCGGTGGGCGATAGAGGCAGCCAACGAGGTGCCGGCGTTGCCCTCCGCCAATAGCTATCCAGGTAGCCTCCAGGTGGCTATTATGCAGATCCGAACGATAGGTAACTGGGAGTGATGTCCTGTAGTAGAGGCATGTGCCCCCACCCTGGCGGTCGGGCCGGTCACAGCCAACAACACTGTAGCCGGGAATACAAATTTCGCCATCCGAGATTGTACTATCCAGCCAGGTCTCGGCAATGCCAATGACGTCCCAGTTGTGCTGGTGGGCAAGGCTGTCCAGTGCATGCAGCTTGTAGCGCAGGCTACAGATATTCAAAAATCCGATGTTGAGGCTCAGAGCAGTTGAGACGGTCATTGTGAGGAGACTGGGGCACTCTTCTTGTGATCAGGAGCTGCACTGTGAGGGGAGTCGTCGTCCCTGTCCCTCTTGAGGCTCGGTGCCTTGCTTGGAGTGACAGATGGAAGTGAGGTCTCAGCTGAAGTGGTTTCAGTCTGGGAACCTTCCTCACCCTCCGTGCTGTTTGGTCCGTCAGAAGTGGTTGTTGTTGCCAGGGATCCCTCA